TTGAATTTTTTATTTTATCAATTTAAATATCAATTTTTTGATTCGTTTTCAATGTAAACCATTTGCTTATTTTTTATAAGTAAAATTGACAAAAAAATATACTTTAGTCATTAAACCCAATGAAAATGAGCATTTTTGACATTTTTCATATACTTGATATTGAATTTAATGACTAATTTTTTTTTGTTAATTTTACTTAACGTTAAAGTTGAATAATGGTTTAGATTGAAAATATATCAAAATATTAGAATTTAAATTGATAAAATTAAATATTAAAAATTGAAAAATCTAAAAACCCCAAGATATTGATTTGTGCTGTTGTTTTAATTTTAAATAACGAATGACAATCGCAATCAAACAATCAAAGACAAACCGACACAACGATTTAACATAGAAAAATCATAATTAGAGCGCCTTCAATTGCGATAAAAAAATCACAACCAAAGCCACAAAACAATCCACTAAAAGATAAAAAAGAATTACACAAGTGTACTCTCAATTACCTAGCGAATCTACACCCGAATTGAACCGACCCTTATGCACTTCTTCCACCACCGTCTTTACCTCGGAATTGTCTTGCCCAATGTTGAATCTATAATGCTGATGTCGAACCCATGATGATGAGCCACCACGGAATCTACCAAAGCTTCAGGCCCAAATTCTCGGAATCCAACGAAATACAACTCTCACTTTTGTGAATAAACGAAAACAAATCCTTGATGATGTTGATATGAAGTTCACGGATTCATTGATCACTCTTAAATCATCAAGGAAACACTCATAAAGCACCTTCCAATGTAAAACACTTTGTTTTTTTCTTCCTTTTTACTGGACGGCTCAAACCTTAAAAACAGCAAACTGCACACTTTATGGTAAATTGAATCACAAAGACCGCTCAAGCGGTGTGAGAAAAAACGGTACAAAATATATAGGTTAACCGCTCAAGCGACCACTTCATCACTCAAGCAAACTCATTAAAACGCATGTCCATCGCTCGAGCCAAGACTCCACCGCTCGAGCGCATATAAGATGCTTTCAAAAGTTTGGACGCTCTGCAAAAGTACTGGATGATCATTTTCTTCGCTTGAGCGCACAAATAACCGCTCAAGCGGCCAAATAGCTCAACTCCAGTACATAGTCAGTGAAGTGACAAACATAAAAAAATCAGGATCACAAACTCATCTGCATAAGCACAATTCAAGTTAGATTCGTATTTAAATACTCATAATCTCACTGAAATAAAAGAACAAATAAAATTACAACTGAAATGAGTTTTGTCAAACGAGATTAATTTTTTTTTAATTGAGACTCAAATCTTGAAGTTTTATTTATTTTTATTTTTTTTAATTTTCCCTAATAAAAGATAAAGATAGTCGAAATTTGTGGCTAAGTACGTCGTTTTATTATTTCAAGTTTCAAACCACCAGCCATTGAAGTTTGGATGATTATTTTGTCCTTCCCAACTGAAACCCATTGACAGACCTTCTTCTTCTTCCTCTCCATGGCAAGAGGAGGCCAAACTTAATTGAGATTTTTCCCACTGTAAGCTCTCGCTCTCTCTCTCTCTCTCTCTACATACAATATACTTATGTCTCTCACATGTATATATATACAATGTGTATATTTGTTTCAACATTTGTATATGTATGTTTATACAATTGTAAAATCGAAACAACTTTCTATACTTTGCAAAGAATAAAAATATATATATATATATATATTGAAAAAAAAAAACAATAACTGTGGCAATTTTTGTTTTTCTTGGGAGGCAGGTGTTAGTAGTTAATGAAACTTAATGCACACAAGGTGTTTGGTTTAATGTCTAAACGAGTTTGTATTTGTTTCTCAGGAATATATATATATATATGTACTTGTTGTGATAATCAATCATGAATCTCTATGATGGGTGCAAGGAGATACTGAAGATCCAAAAGTTTAGGAGAATTGTATCCTATGCTGGGTTTTATTGCTTTGTCACCGTCTTAAGCTATGCTTACAACAGTAATACGTAAGTGGAATCCTTATATCTGGAAGTTATTTACCAAACCTGACTTCTTTCAATCAATTATTTCCCAAATGCATGTTGTTTTCAACATATTTTTCCCAAATCGAAGTTGTCGTGTCATGGAGCTATGTTTTCAAAACATGAAAACACAACTTCGGGCTTGAAGCAAAGTCTTGTTTTCGCAACACGGAATCAATTAAATTAAATTATTTTACAACTCCCTAAAGTTGTGTTTTCACAACTTCACAAAATAACGTGGGTTAAGAAAATAATTCAAAATGCTTGAGTTTGGGAAATATGTTATCAAAACATGTGAGTTTGATACAAAGAAGTCCATGTTTGGGTTTTAATCATTTCTATTTAATTGGGTTCTGCAGGACTAGAGCTGGGTTCTCTAGAGATGACCAATTCTATGCATCTTACCCAGCTGGAACTGAGCTCCTAACTGACTCTGCTAAGGTCAGCTATACACATTTTGTATATAGGTTACATGTTTTTTCTTGATCTTCTTTTGTGTTGTGTTTGAATCCCAGATTTGTGGAACAAAAAGAAATGGGAATTTCTCTTCCCATTTCTTTTCCTTGCACAAATTCCTCCACAAATCTATGATCTTTTTATTTGTCACTAGTTATATAAAGCTGCACTTGGCAATTGCTTTGAAGAGGAAGAATGGGGACCTGTTCAATGGTGCATCATGGCTAAACACTTCGAACGCCAAGGAAAATCACCATATGCATATCATGCAGTAAGTTCAATGAAAGTAATTATTGGTTACTATTCCCTCCAATCTTGCCAGATGTATTTTATAATTTATATGCTTTTACTTGCAAAAGTCATAGCATGTGAATTTATACAAAAACTGAGTGGTTTCATTGTGTTCTGCATTTACATGATCTAAGATTTCCTGTTATAACCAAGTCTGAGAAATGAGACATAGTATCACATTTACGTTGTGTTTGGATCATGGATTTGGATAGGGATTTGGATAGGAAACGAAAACGGAAACGAGAAAAAATTTAGCTTATATTGGCGTTTGCCTTACCTTTTCCCTTTCCCTTGGTAGTATAAACAAGTCTAAGAAATGAGACATAGTATCACATTTACACCGTGTTTGGATCAACACAGCCTTAGTAGTATAAAACAGTTCCATTGGAATCCTAAGGTGATGGTAACTTATCAGTCTTTTGATTACTCCCATTTCTATAATGACCCTATTCTGGACAATCAATGCACACTATTGGGTGCCAGAGTGGATGTAATTGAACTGCTTAACTTCTGCTGGTAATTCGAAGAGGCTAAAATATATGAATTCTTAGGTAAGAAAGGGGTTAATTTTTATGAGTGATATCTGGTTGACACTAAAAAAAGTAATCCTTTTAATAAGAAGACGCAGAAAGTGCCTATGTAAAAATAAATTTGTCTTCAATGCATCATAGTTTGTATTGTAGTTCTAAAACTATACCTAGTTGTTTGTTGTAAGATTCTGTTTGTGGGCTTTAAAAGTGCAGTACTTTAGTTTTTGGCATATTATTGGGCAATAGAACTATGGATATTTATAAAATGGTGGGAGTACTTAGTTGCACAAAGTGGGGGAAGGGGAGCAGAGACACATAGGAGAGTCAAAAGTTGGGAGCATCTAGCGGAGCATTTTATGTATTTCATATATAAATTTATTGTCAGAAATATTTTGTTACTTAATTGAAATATTTATGTTAAATGTCTCCATTATACTTGCACTTAAATTGTTAAACATAATTATAGTAAATTTCTCATTACAAAAATAACAATTCATTATCAAAAGCATATATTTTTACTCCTCAATCCTCATGAATCCAAATTGAAAGTTTGTCAAAAAATGCTCATCCTTTTAATTCCTAAGGAAAAAGTCAAAATTTAGGATAAATATATGTTCTCTATAGATTTTCTTGTGCCTTGGTAGCTTTTCTTTTTTTCTTGGGAATTCATATGTTTGAGTAGTGCCATCCCAATTGGAACCGCAATTCTATCTCAATGGGAATGAGGTTACTGACAAGATTTAACTTTTAATTGTAGAATCGCAGTTCTAGAGTAGAAACGTCATTCCTAAAAGGAGTTTCCTGCAACTAAGGGTCGTCCCCCAATGGATAGGCTTAAAAAAAACAATAGTTGTTCTAGGATGCTTAAATCTCTAAGAATCACCAATTTTTGGAAGGAAGTAGATTATGTCACCTGAATGCAAGTTCCTCCGGCCAATTATAAGTTTCCAGGTTGAAAGCATTTGAGTACGGAGTTTTTTTTCTTGAGATGCAACATTGGATTTTCGGAGCAAGTTCTTGTGTTTCTGATCCTATGTTTAACTTGAGTCATTTGCCTGAAATTCTGAATTCCTAAAATAGTGGCCATAAATTGAATAGTTCAGAGAGGAAAGCACAACATGACTGAAAATTTTCTCAACCTGCCATGTCAAAATTTGAGCTTGAAGGAAATATGGGGATTGGAAAGATGTATGTTCAGTATTATTGTCGTACAAAATGAATGTTAGTCTAATTCATCAAACACTGCAAGCATCATGTCTTTATATGTTGAAGTCAGTATATATGTCATATGATCGTTATACTCAAATCGAATTGTTTACCATTAGAAAAACTTCGTTGTGAAAATTGAAATCCTTTCAGGCGAACTTTAGTAATTCTCTATTTTAAGAGGTAGTCTCTCTCTCTCTCTCTCTCTCACACACACACACACACACACATATAAATGAACAACTGCCACCTTCACCTTCCCTAAGGAAAGCATTGAAAAGCTAATTTGGATCATGGTGGGAGACACAGAAACTCAGCAGCCTAACTTCAGAGCAGAACATAATCCTTTCAATCAAATATGAGGATTGATCTAAACATTGAACATATGGTTACTGAATTGGCTCTTGTGCCAATTTACATAGTTTATACCAGTGATATTAAATCATCCATGCGGTTCACATATTATGAAAAAAATCACAAAATCAATTGATAGTAATTTACTGTAAATATGCTCAGAACTCAGATTTGTACAGAATAAAAGGTTTACAGTGCTTAACCTTTTTCTTTCTCTTTTTTCCCCTTCCCGTGCTGCAGCAATACATGGCGCACCTTGCCTCTCTTGGGCAAGTTGATGGAAGTGGCTAGTGGAAGTATACGATACAATTCCCCCGCGAGAAGTCTCACTCGTATTTGTCGTGAGTCGTGGCAATTGGAAGTTATTAATGCCTAAAGCGAAAGCATTTATCAGGGCATGGTCTTGTAATGCTAACATTTTCTGTAGGACTTCTTTTCTTGATATCTAGAAGTTGCATTAAACCACATTTGTTCATCTAGCTCGAATGGCATTCTTTGAAAGTCCTTTTGGTGACAATGTTAAGCTGCATTTTTTCATTGCTTGCAACTACTTCTCAGAAAATCATTTTTAAACTCTTTCAATTAAAACCTAAATTTGAAGTGTCTTAGAAGTGAATAGGAAGGGAATGTAGCACTTTGAATTGGTTTTTCTTGTAGGCAGATTTTTTATTTATTTATTTTTTTTTTATGCAGAGGTTTCAGCAGATAAAAGGTCGATATATCTTTACAAAAGCAAAATATGAGAAGTTGTAGCTTTATTATTTTATTTTGGACAAACTTTTTCTCTCTCCTCTCTCCTCTCTCCTCTCTCATTCTCAATAACTTTTTCCCTCACACACATCTACTCAATTATAACAAAATATCAAAGCATTCCAAACTCTCAAACTCCAAAACTACTTTCAAAATACACAACCAAACAAACTAAAAAAAAAAATTCTAAACTCTCTCCTCAAAATAATTTTTAAAAACTACTCTCCCAATTTTTAAACTCTATCATTTTTTGGTGAAACTCATTTTTTTGATAATTTTTATTACGAAACTTACAAGATAGAAGGTTTGGATCATCGGTACAGATTTGAATTAGAGTCTATAATGATATGGAGAGATAAAGATATGAAGGGGAATTTATCCGGAGTCTTTTTGCTTAATTGGTTAACGGTATAAATGATGTATTTTAATTTATAAATCACATAGGATTATGTATTTATTTCTAAATATTAGGGGGAAAGGTGCACAAGGAGTAACAAGAAGTTGAAATTTACCCATCTATTTTTATAGTTGGATAAAGTATACTTTGTTCCTTTTATGTTGGTCTTTTTCTTACTTTACCCTTTAATTTTTTTTTTTTTATATATATATTTTGACCTTTCATGTTTCAAGTTTTTCACTTTACCCCTAAAGATAACTTTTGTTCAAAATTAAACAAAAAAAAGGTCACAATAATTGTTATATAACATAAAAAATATATTATTGTATTAGATTTTAATTTTGTCGGAGGTATGAATTATATATAATAAAATATTTTTATACCACGTAATTGTTAATGTATTATTTTTTGTCCAATTTTAAACAGAAATTAACTTTACGAGTAAAATGAAAAGAAAAAAAAATTAAAATATAAAAGGTCAAAGTGAAAAAAAATAAAAATAAAAACTAAAATAAAAAAGTGGCGGACAAACCTAAAAAGGGTAAAGTGTAATTTACCTTTCTAATCTTTTGGTAAAAGGAAAGGGCAAAAAAAGTATGAAGTAACTCCACCGCTAGTGTGGATGTAAACTTTTGTTAATTATCTCTACAGAAGTTAAGATGGTATTTCATTTTTTGTGCCGCTTTTTGTATCGCCACTTGCGAGGATATTCATAAGAAATAATCATTAATAAAAGGGTAAATTACAAATATATCTTATGAAGTTTGCTTAAAATATAAATTGTCTCTTGTGATTTGAAAAATTATAAATATTTTCCTATCAGAATTTTTTATTTAACAAAATTAATTAAGAAAATGAAATTTCTAACTGTTCACTTATACAATAATAAAATTATCTAAATTATTAATTGAAACAAAATTTTAACATTATTAAAATCTGTTAATTAACTTGATAATTTAATAATAAAAAGATCTATTTGTTATGAAATTAGAAACCTTGAGGATATAATGTAATTTCTAGAATCACATGGGGTAATTTGTAATTTAAATAAATTTCGAAAGATGTGTTTGTAATTATCCTCAATAAAATAATAACGACAAATAATAAGGAACCAATGATAATAAAGACAAATAATAAACGGTTAAAAAAATTAAAAAAAAAAAAAAGATAAGATAAGATAATATACAACAGTCCTAATTTTTCAAAGAGGAAAGTAATTTTTATATTGGTAAATGCTAAAGCCTAAGCACAAGTGTTGCAAATGGTTTAACACGAAGTAGGTTTTGACAAAATTTGGAATTGGGAAAATTATTATTTAGTGGGAGGTGGCCGAGAAAATTATCAATATGTGAGAATATTTTGGAAGTGCAACCCAGAAAAGAGTTGCACCCCCATAATTTTATGTATATTTTTGGTCAAATAAATTCAATTGTTATTCTTCCTACTGTATCAATGCATTGTTTGAAGAGAAAATTACAAATCAGTGTTAATTTGAAAAAATAATTACTAATTCACGAAAAAATTTAAAATTTTAATTATTAAGGGCTCATTTGGTTTGATTTTCTGAAAAAAATTTGGGAAATTTTCTCTACAAATAAGTTTTCAAAAATAACCAAACCAAACAAATTTTCCCAAAAAAATTTCCCAAAACTTGTAAACCAAACAAGTTTTCCAAACAAATCTCTCTCTCACACACATCAAATCAATTACTTTTTCCAAAACTCTATCTCAAAATAATTTTCCAAAACATTTTTTAAAAAAACCCAAACCAAACATGTTTTCGTACTTTTTATCTCTAAAACACATCTCTCAAACACAAACCAAACATACCCTAAATATTTTATAAAATTTATCGCTGATTTGTAATTATCTTTTATAAATACTATCGAAGTGATATTTCCCCTTGCTCTAATGGACCTACCAAATCTAACTTAACCACAGTATAAAACCTTTTTTTGCCCTTTTGGGTCTCAAGCATGGTTTTAATTTGTTTTGCTATTTTAATCATTATGGAATACCGAGGTTGAAGGGCATCAAAGCGAAGGATTTTCTCCGACCTAAAAATTACATAAATTTTCACAAACTTACATAAGTAATCTCATGAAAATCCGTAAATCAAACACAAATTCACGTAAATCTTTAATTTTCACAAACTTACGCAAATTTATATTTCACTTACCCATTTTTGTAAGATCATTTATGTAAATTCATAAAAATGTACGTAATTTATGGTAGACTTGCATACAGTATGCATTGCATACTGGAACATTCCCTCCTTCCAAATAAAACTAAATTGTTCATATACCAACTTTTCAACAAAATCTATAGTTTGGAAATCAACTTCTAAGCCAAACTAATATTAGATTTTCATTCAAAATTTGATTTCTAAACTATGTAGTTATACTCAAAAGTTGATATCCAAACTAAAAAAATATATGAAATGAATCTGTGGAAATAAAAATTTCTCCCAAACAAAAATTGCAATGATAAAAACCATCACACTCAATACTTGTTCCAACTTAGGCCTCATTTGAGAACAGACCAATTTAGTAACTTTTTAGCTATTTGACTAAAATATAAACTAAAAAAAACTATATGTTTAAAATGACTTTTTGATTTTTTACGAAAAGATGTGCAAAAAATAGAGAGAAAGGAGAATCTTTAACTTTTTGGTATGGGTTGTTAGCTTTTTGGCTAATTTAGTAATTTTTGACTTTTTTACTAAAAATGAGAGTTCCCAAACGAGACCTTAATAAAAATAATAATAAAAAATAAAGGTCAGATGCAACATTCTTCCCCTATCAAATGATGCAGCCAGCAGCCAGTGCTATGATCTACTAGTTCTCTATATGGTTGGCTTACATGATGTCACCAATCAATACCAAGCCCTCAAGTTCCAAATAGGTAGGTGTGGAATTCACCTCGACTCTAACCTGCCGAGACATGATCCCACCCACCTCCATTCAAAACTTGTTTGTGACTGTTGCACCAAATGGCTTACTTCAGATGTACAATACAAAGAATGCTCGACATTCATTTGATGCCCCAAAATATCACGATATCCAACAGAGATACAGAACAGAAGTAATGACAACAAACTAAAATAAACCTCTTGCTTCATCATGATTCATTGTGAAACTGTTGCATAAAAGCACTAGGAAGTCAACAGATCTAAGGACTTGAAACCAAATCATAATAGTAGCTACAAATTCAGTATGAAACAAAAATGTAAATGTTGAAACACAGAATTAATACAACAATGTCTACACTACATATCCAATTTTTCCTATATAATAATAATAATAATAATAAAAGACAAAGAAGAAGAAAAAAAAGTTGCAGCCATCCATAGTTCACCCAACTGTAGTATACTATAGAGTATGCAATGCTGCCCAGTTCTCTGACTATCCACTTACCACGTTTCCATTTTGCTCTGTAACTGTTTCCTGCAGTACATTACAGACGTAGATAAGAATGAAAGTGTTTCAGTTCTCTAAATCACTAATTACTTACCTCAAAGTCTCTCCCTTTTAAGCCGACACATTTGGAAGCACTAATGCTAGAACAGGTCACGACCACTATAATTTTGTTTTTTAGGGCCATTCTGCATAGCTACTACAGCCTTTTCAGCATTTTCAGGTTTGTTGCTCCTCCGTGATCTTGTGGGGCTTTGAAAGGATGTACGAGCAATATAGTCTGTAGCACGCTTTTCAAACTCGCTGTCTTCATCAGAAGACTCATCTTTGGGTGCACAGACCCGCTCTCTGTTGAAAAAAAAATTTAAAAAAAAATAAAAAAAAAAAACATTAATAGGTATTAAAAAAAAACACTTGATAACAAAATAGTATCATCAGTCTGAAGAGTGCTGACATATTTTGTGTAACACTATACCTAGGCAAAGAGGTATATTGTCTTCGAAGAGGAGTGCTTCTTTCTCCTTTACCATAGTGCTCCTCGAGATTGGTAAATTGTTGCTTAAATCGATCAATTCCACTGAAATGGCATTAGAGTTAGAGTTTCTTCCATCACAATCCGATATGCATGTACAAAAGAAATTAACTGTTGCTCAGGTGGATAAAAACTAAAACGCTGATTGTAGTGAAAGAAACAGCAGGTTTTTACCAGAAGCGAGTAGTTTTCAAACAATTTTTCCAAACCCAAGTAGTTTTCAACGCATTTCTCAAATCTAGGTACTGCGTGAAATCACAAACCTGGGTTGAAATCGCATTATCGACCTACAATTTCATCTAGAGTGAACATCTCACCGATTTGATACTTCAATGAAGTCTTAGGTTTAACTTCCAATGTTCTGTTTAGTGAAATCACAAGTTGAAATTGCAATTTTTATTTTTCATTTTTTTGTTCCAGCAACTTGTGATTTTGTCTTGGTGAACTAACATTTAAATCTTAATGCAGGCAAGGCATATCTCGTTGAATCAGTTTTTTTCGCCACATTGCGTACAACGGGAATTGAACCCCCTCTGCAGCTGGCGGGCGGCATATGGAGAATGTCCTACTTCGATCCAGCAACTTGTTGGGAGTAGGTTTTAGCTTCATCCCCGTATTTTTTCGCATACATGGGTTCGGTCCTCCAAGGCCTGTTAGAGCTCTCTTCAACCTGCTCATGGCTAGATCGATCGGTTTCGGGTCAAATAGGAAGAACTAGAAGATTCCACCTCTGGAAAGCGCCTACACCTAATGGCTTAAGCCGCTGTTCCCATTTCCTCGCTGACCCATCATGCAAAAGGTACGCCGTTAGAGTGAGTGCGCTTTACTAATATAATAGAAAGTAAAGGCTCTAAGCTCCGCTCCTTCGACTGATTGTTCGCATCGGATCTCAGGTTCTCTATTGCACTCCATGGGAAGAATCCGCTGAGACAAAAGCATTAGCAGAGGCAGAATCAGCTGCATCAGCAAGCGAATGCCTTTCTTAGAATGGTTCGGAAACCCAGTGAGAATCACCTTCTTACCCCGAATCCTAAGATCCAGGGAGGTTGGCTAGAAAGAGAAATTCCAAATCTAAAGAAGAGGCTGAAGCATAACAAAGGCTGAGAAAGCCAATAGCGGGACTTTTAAGCCACATCACGCTTTTCCAGGTACCAATCAAAAACTGTTTGTTTTTCGTTAAGAGACTTTTTTTTTCCGATTCAAACTTCAATCTTGAAAAAACCATTGTTCAACTCTTTGACAACATGGAAAAAACCAAAAGCTCTGCCTTCCCTCTCTATCTATCCTAGGGATGGAAGGGCAGAGTCACATGTTTAAGATATGCTTTCACAAAGTAGAGTATTCGGGAATTTTATTTAAAAACTACCTGGGTTTGGTAAAAAAATAAATAAAACTTATAAACAAACCCAAGAAACATGCAACTTCATGACATGGAAGCAGAACTGTAAAAGCTAATGACCACTGTCCTAGTTGTGCGCACACAAGCAACCACATCTGATGCCAGAGTACAAGAAGCTCAAAGAATGCTAAATTCAGAAAAGTGATGATACTTGGACATTGGCAGGATTTCATAGATAAACTGATAGATATCTTCTATAATTATGTTTCTAGTATTCTTAGAATCTTAATTTGTTATTATTTTTATGTTTTTTAGGATTTTATAGGTTAGGGTATTTTGGTAATTTTATATTTACTGACATGGGTTATATGGGTCGCCCATGGGTCGTCTTGTGGGTCAAGTTATTTAATTGAGTCAACCACATCTGATGCAGAGTACAAGAAGCTCAAAGAATGCTAAATTCTAAGAAGTGATGATACTTGGACATTGGCAGGATGTCATAGATAAACTGATAGATATCTTCTATAATTATGTTTCTAGTATTCTTAGAATCTTAATTTGTTATTATTTTTATGTTTTTTAGGATTTTAAAGGTTAGGGTATTTTGGTAATTTTATATTTACTGACATGGGTTATATGGGTCGCCCATGGGTTGTCTTGTGGGTCAAGTTATTTAATTGAGTTTTATTTATGTTTCTTTTTTGGTCTAAATTAGTTTTGGAAGTCTAAGATATTATAGTAGTTTCCTTTTTTTATTCTAGTTGGTTTACAAAGTCTCTAAAGTTTATATAAAACCATGTAATACCTCTAATTCAATAGAGTTGATAGTTTATAAAAAGTTGAGAACTTTGAAACTTCTTTAGGGTTTGTGTGATGCAACCCAACCCTAGATGTGATGCCTAAGGGATTCTAGGAGTGATTCCTAGTTTTCTTCATTTTTCTCTTTTCCTATTGCCTCTATTCACAGATTACTACTTCTAGCCCATAGACAGTCTTTCTTCTGTCACAAATTCTTGTTTCCTTACGCCCAAACCATTCATAACCAAACCCTAACCACCCCTAGCTTTATTTCACTAAACATAACCCTAAGCTTAAAATTTGCTTCAAACCTGTGTGTGCGGCATCAGTTTGGTATCAAAGCTGAAGGTTTCGCCATGATATTTTCACATTGTGGGAGATCCAATACAAGTGGATTGACTTGAGAAGAAGGTAAAACGCTTCTTAGAGAAAATATTCATCCGAAGGATCTTCAAGATGCTTTTCTTGATCAATTGTATGCTCTTAAGTAAGGTGATATATGTGATTGATTATGCAAGAAAATACAAGGAATTATTTATCAAATCTTGAGTGGTAGAAAGTGAATGGATGATTATTACTCATTTCAAAAGTGGGTTGAGATCTGTAATTAAAGAAGAGATGTCTCGTGCATATTTGGAGGATCTCGAAGATGTTATTGAAACGGCTATGCAATTTGAGTTTTCATAAAATTTAGGGAAAAATCTATAGTTTTGAAGCCTACTACAAAAGGAGGATTGCTATAGCAACCACAAAATTGTGTAAGACATGCATCACAAGTAGCACCAAAATAAAAAATTATTGTCAAAGATGCACAACTGAAGTCAAAAGCGAAAGTAAACAATTAGCTTTTGCCCAAAACGAAAAATGACCAGATTTTGAAGGATAACAAGACACTTATTGCTGATCCAAAAGCACCTCAAGAATATCTAGTTATTACTCAAGTAAAGGCTAGAATCCAAAGCGAGGAACTAGATGCTATGGAAGCTGTAGGGACTGAAGAATTGACACAACCAGCTGCTAGTGCTGAGCAAAATATGGCTTTACAAGTCACCAATTTGCTGCCTAAATTCTCTCCAATAGAACCAAACAAGAATAAAATGCATGGAATGAATTTTGCAGTCCAAGATTTGGATTAATTCAAGAATGTTTCAATTCATTCTATTGATTTTGTCATTCCCTACATATTTAGTATCATGAAGGACAAGATCAATTTCTCAAAATTTTTGTTCCTATCTCCAACAAATAAAAGGTGGCAACAACTTAAAGATTTTAACATGAAGTTATGGATGCAATTTCAAAACTTGTGGATGCTTATACTTCAACACTTCAAAATTTGAGGTTGAGTTTTTTCCAACCAAGGGAGAATGATGCAGAGTATAAGAAGCTTAAAGAAGGCTAAATTCAGAGAAGTGATGATATTTGGATATTGGCATGATTTCATAGAGAAACTGATAGAAATCTTCTATAATTATATTTCTAGTATTATTTGAATCTTATTTTATTATTGTTTAATGTTTTCTAGGATTTTTTAAGTTAGGGGTATTTTGGTAATTTTATATTTACTAACATTGGTTATATGGGTCCCCCATGGGTTGTCTTGTGGGTCAAATTATTTAATCGAGTTTTATTTATGTTTTTTTTTAATCTTAAATTAGTTTTGGAAGTCTAAAATATTATAGTAGTTTCCTTTTTTTATTTCAGTTGGTTTATGAAGTCTCTAAAGTCTATATAAAGCTATGTAATGCCTCTAATTTAATAAAGTTAATATTTTATAAAAAGTTGAGCGCTTTGAGGCTTCTTTAGGATTTGTGTGATGCAACCCAACCTTAAGTGTGATGCCTAAGGGATTCTGGGAGTGATTCCTAGTTTTCTTCATTTTTTTCTCTTTTCCTATTGCCTCTGTTTACAAATTACTACTTCCAGCCCATTGACGGTCTTTCTTCTATCACAAATTCTTGTTTCCTTAAGCCCAAACCATTCATAACCAAACCCTAACCACCCCTAGCTTTATTTCACTAAACATAACCCTAAGTTAGCTTAAAACTTGCTTCAAACCTGCGTGTGCTGCATCAACATCATTTGAACTACTGGCTGAAAGGGAAGAAGATTTTTTTTTTTTTCAAGTCTCAAACTTGGTTTTAATCTATTTTTCCTCCTGTAGCAACAAGAACAGTGCCATTTAAAGACAACTACTCAGTGTGTTTGAATCATGAATGGATTACCCAGGTTTAATAGAATCAATCAAGTAACAAATAATGCATGACATGTGTAATATATCTTTTACATAGAAAAAAACTAGTGGTAGCATACAAAATTTTGAATTGAAATACAATTTTTAGTATATACATTATAACTTATAAACCATCTAGTTTCATCTTGTAATCTACAAGAGAACTACATTGGTGTTATATTCTCCTAGGGCAAGATAATAGTCTCTGCACAAGATAGTGTAAAAAAAAATCGCAGTACAGTATTTTCTACATTTTTTGCCTAGCTATATAAAGTTGGTTAGTGGATAGTAATAGGCGGGCAGCGGTTTATTCGAACCGCTCAAACCGCCTAACCCACCCAACCTGCATATAAATGGGCGGTTTCGCAAACATAATGCGGGCGGATGCAGTTTGAAATATGACAAATTTGCGGGTCACGGGTTAAACCTGCAACCCGCAAAAACCGCCAACACTTTAATTGTTATTATTATTATTATTATTATTATTATTATTATTTTCATATACCAACTTTGTAACTTTAACAGGAGCCCCATTATGTTCACTATGACACTAGGATCCTTATTTTTAAGTATTTCTCAACTTTCTTAATGTCGTAGAATTATCAAGTCCTAAACTTGGTTTCTTATATGATTTTCATTGATGACTCATCCACTTTTTCCTAACAAAATTTTCCTTTT